GATATCATAGAAGTAACAGAGGCAGGTCTTCCATTTGAGATCACAAAGAACAGTATCAATCATGCCCTCAAACGTGGCTGGAGAATTGCACAAGTCAATTGACATTACAATAAATTCCAAAATGCCGTCCGGCATAGCAAATGCAGTTTTTTTGTCAGCCTCGTTTATGGGGATTCGCCAGTAGCCCAATCGTAAGTCAAGGCTCGAGAAATAGTTCGTCCCGTATGTTTAAAGCGTCATCAATTCGAGACATAGAATATACTTCCTTGCGTCTGCTCTTATTTATTGCGTGGTAGTCAATGCAGAAACGAACAGAGCCATCTTTTTTTTAACTGAAATGACTGGAGATGCCAATGAACTCGAAGAAGGCCGTGTTATGTTTCACGATAGCATTTCGTTCGCTTCTTTTTCAAGAATTTCTCTCTCTCTCTGACTGCGAAACCTGATATTGCCGACGGCGTATCACACGAGAACCGTCGGTTTCAATGCGTTGTAAAGCCACGGAATCCTTACACAGTGTTGTCGCAGTTATCAAAGCAGGTTTTGTGGCTAGTTAAAAGGGTCCATAGCTCTTCAGAGTGTTCTTCAGGTGTGAGGTGGGACAGCTCGAAAACAGAAAGAACGTGAACTTGGAGCTGGTACTGGTGACGAAGACGGCCAGAGTGACGCGATGGAGGTCAGTGGAGATGTGTCGATCTTTGGCATTGTCATTATTTTGCGCAGCAGCATTGATTCTGTAGTTGTGTTACAAAAGGGCAGAAAAACGCGGCCACAGGATATACGTGAAATATCAGTACACTTTTTGCAGTCTGGGCAATGTGGAGTTATGTCCGAGTTGTAACAGCTGAGTCGCCCCTGAGGTGAGTACGATCTCGTTTGGAGCATGTGAAAGGCTGCTTTGTGCGCACGCTCGATTTTTGCATGTGGTAAAGTGTATTGACTTCTGTCGTTTCTGTGGTGGAAGGTAATTTTGTGGAAGGTCAGTAAAGGTTTCATAAACAAACGTTTTATTCAATTTTCTTCTCGGTAGGAAGAGGATCACTATACCAGGAAACGTTGACTCAGTAGTTCACACCTCACAAGAACTACAGCGATCATTAAATCAATTAGCTGAAAAATTAGAAAACATGTTCTCAACGTGTCTTTCTACTTATGTTTACGCACCAGCCATCTCTGACTACACAGAAATATCGGCTTCCAAATTAAATCAGGCTATGGAAAGATTGCCAATTGTAGCACCAGGCCCCGATGGAATAACAAATACAATGCTAAAAACACTACATCAGAAATATCCGAATGATCTTTTAGGTCTCGTCAATTATTCCCTTAGAAGAGCATGGATACCTTATGAATGGAAGATTGTGAAAGTTATACCAATGCTTTAGAAACAAGGGGCAGGCCATAATCTAGACAACATATGACAGATAGCCTTAACATCTAATGTAGTAACGCGTATGAAAAATGTACGTCATGGCATTATAATTAGGTTTCTTATTGAGAACAACTGTTGAGTTTTTTTTCCAAATTGGTTTTAGATCTGAATATTCCATATGGCATGCACATGCAGATCTGAAAAGTCATATTCACATTGCCAGTCACAAAAAGCAGTATGCGGCTTTAGTAACTTTAGACATATGTAAAACATACCATAGTTTAGAGTACCCTAATTTGATAAACAAGTCATGGAGTCATGGGCTCCCAACCTTTATTGTAAAACGGGTGATAGAATTTTTAAGTAGAAGAGAATTTTATTGTTTTCAACCCGGTTGCTCTTCCTGTAAGCGCAAGCAAACCCGTGGTGTACTTCAGGGGTGAGTACTTTCCCCCGTATTATTCAAGCATATTGCCTTTTACTGTCTCCATTCAGTCATCTGTCAAAACCTATCTTCATGCCGACGATATTGCTTTCCTTGCAATGGCACATGACATGCAGTGTCGTTACAATACATGGCAAGCATATTTAAATGAACTTGAACATTGGCTGGGTGGTTTGATGTTGAACCTAAACACCAATAAATGTGCTATTTTAGAGTTTCCTGTTTAAGATCCTGTGCACATATCTATTAATTACAGATCCAAGATATTCCACAAGTACAGTTATTCAAATAACTTGGAGTTATGTATAATTGACATCGCAAACGGCACCCTCATATTAAATAAATCGCGACAAAATAAGTACACGCAATTGGCGTATTGCGGAGGTTGAGCTGCTGTAGATCAGAGATGAGAAAGAAAGCCCTTTCGATGATATATACAATGCATATCCAACCTACGTTGGAGTTTGGCTGAGTTCTTTTTTCTGGTGCACCAGCCTACTAAGTTCGGCAGCTCCTTCTATTGGAAAGGGAGGCTTTACGGATCTGCTTAGGATTTTTAAGGTATACTGCAAATGCAGTGTTATACCTTGAAGCACAAATACCAATCTTTTTATGTTGCTTCAAGATTTTTACTGTGCAGACGTTTTCACCATTACATGAAGCAACTTTTAACGCTGATCAAACCTTTTTTATTTGCTATCCTGACTACTTTTTTCCATGCGTTAGCCCAAATTTCACAAACCATAAAAAGTATTGGTTCAATCGTTACTTGAGCTTCTCTATGTACACGTTCGTGGTCTGCTTCTTGTAACCGTTCATCAAATTTTTCCAGAAATTGTTGACGATATTATCTCCCGAACTCACGCTAAACTATCTACAGCCATTTTAAATAATTTACTGCAGTAAGATTTGAGTACTCTGCCAACGAACGCATCGCAGTCAGGTGAAAAATCAGGCGTTGGAATATATTGCCTTGTACTTGATTCTTCGTTTTCATTTCGCTTACCAAATTTCTTCTTGTCTTTCTGGCTGAATTTGTGGCAATAATGTTAGCTTTGCACAAGGCAAGTACTTTGATTGCAGTCGCAGCAATCATAACTGACCCATTATCAATTTGCCCTTCTCTCTCCACCACATCCGGTTGTTCACCCGTACTGATTGTTTTAAAATCATTGGTTCCCTGCGATCGCCGAACTATTCATTTATTCTGGGCACCAGGGAACAAAGCTTTCTTGTTAAATGAAATGACTGATTCTCTTGTGAAGGCATCGCTTTCGGCACCAATAATTCCTATTTTTCCACTTCAGTACAAATTACGGTGGCGCGAATTCGCACGCTTAAAATCAAGCAAAATTTATCAGACCCTGCACTCACGGCTTATCCGGCGTGCAACCATTTGTTATTTCCCTGGCGCAGTGAGCTGTCCAATTACAACATGATGGAAGTTGTCATCACAAAATCTCGTTGTGGCGTTGCCTGCTTCAATTTTTACTGATACATATCTGATTTATTGAATTCCTCTGTATGTATTTACTGTAATTAAAAGGAAACGGTAAGTCATTTTTTATTAAATTTTCACCGTTTTCATTTATTCAGGAAAAGCTTACTAGCATCACCTCTTCAAAAACTGGGCTCGCAGTTATTGAAACCTGCTCTTTTTAATTTGGACCCTCTACACTGGAATGCAAAGGAATGTTTTTTTTTTCACCGTTCAGCCTGACATCACGGTGAATAAATAATTTTTGGCTAAATTGTGGGCTCACCACTTTTTTTCTTTTTAAGTTTGCAATTGTCAATACAAATCTTAACACTAGCGTTTTTAGGAATGAAGCAATGCAGAAAGTATCGGGCAAATTCACCTTATAATCGGCCCATCACCTCCTTTGGGTACGAGCCATGTGCAGAGGAAAACAACAACAACTATGCGTGTGTGCTCAGTTTTTTGCTGGCTGATTGATTGCCACTCATGAACGTCGCTCATGAACGTCGCTCATGATCGTCGCTCATGATCGTCGCTCAACGATCATGAATGATTTCTTGTAGGTTGGGTTGCTGTGAGTGAACGTGTTTGTCCATGTGGGCAGGGGACCAAGAGAGGTAGTGCGAGCCCGTGTATTCGTGTGTTTGTAAAATGTGGGCTGCTTCTTGAGTGATGTTGCCGCTTTCGTAAACCCGAATGGCGGCGCGAGAGTTCGTTATGACATAGGCGTGTGAGGGGTCAGTCATCACTGAAGCTATATCAACCTGCTCGACAATGGCCCTCATTGATAGCCCAAGGGCTCGTCCTCACAGCTGTCAAATGTCCCGCCTCGTCACCATGAAGCCACCGGTTTTAGTCAGGGTAGAGTATTTCCAACCCGTTTTTTCTTCAAAAACGTGGTGACGGTGACGTAAAGCGATGCTTCAAGTTTTCGTTGCCGGTGCGGGGACAGAGCCCCACTTTTCATTGTACCAGTGCCGGTTCATCGTCGGTGCAGCTAACAAACAGAAGAAAATGCGGAGAGCACAAAAGAACGAGAAGGTAGAACGACTGAGTGTTTGAATGGTCATAAAGAAAGGAACTATCGTGTACGAAAACGTGCTGCTGTTGGCCTTGAAACAAGCGTTGCCTGTTCGTACACAGCTTCGTCGCGTATATTCTACGTAAAATACGCGGCAATAAAATTCTCTACAATGAAATCGCCTACAACAGCACAGTAAAAGTCAGCAATTAAGGAAGAATACGATTTTGCGCCATTTAGGAAATCGCAAGACATTACTACTGCTTCAGTTTGTGATGTCATAATATTTTGATTTTTGTTTGCTGTAAGTTATTTCTTTCATACGTAGATGGCGATACTGGCAAGAAGCCGCCCAAATACTACACACAAGGTTTTCTATGGAAGTTACGCTAACAGTTTACATATACCTTAGTTATGCGGCTGATCTGGCTTAGGCTCATTCGATATTTTGTACAGCACTCTAAAGTTTTACAGTGATGTGTACGCACACACCTTCCAGTTATTTACAAAAATAATGATTTCATATGACCGGCAGAGTACCGCTGATTCATATTCACGATCCTGTATTGTGACAGGCACTCGTCAAATAAAAAAAAACTGTGGTGATTAGGTAACTATCGTCAAGTGGTGCAACAATATCAACTTGAAGGTAAGCATGTACACTAAAGATGGGTGCACGTACCTTTCCGACCAGGTGTGTCTCGTAGTCGAGCTCCTTTAGGTACTGGGGCAGAATACGCACGTCCGTCGGCAGTCCCCATGGCTCAGCTATATCGATTGGAATTCCCTGCATGCCTGGTAGAAGTGAATAAAGGGCCATGTAAAGTTTTTCTGGTGCCGAATCAGACAACATTTTGCCTAATGAGGTGATCTTGTTTTCTTTTTTCGTTACTTAGGACAACCAACCTAAACTGGAAGCTCGCTATCTAAATTGTGTGGCAGTCAGTGACATTCATTTCTTTTTAGCAAGGTCTGAAGGTTCATATTGTCTACTTCGAAGTCCGCGACTTGTGTGAAGGTCTTTTGCTTGTAAGTGTTTTATGATATTCCGTCGCCATTGTGATTGGTATAGTGTAATCTAAAACGTTTTTTTTGTCTCATTTTAACCTAAGTTATCCGAGCATTCCCCAGAATATTTTAACTTATTGCTCCTAATAAGGATCATGCTAAATGAGAAAGTGTTGATTAGAAGCATACTAATGAATACTTTACTAATTAGGCTCGAGGTAATTGTCGCCGTTTCGAATTAAATCTCACCATTCATTTCATTTCATTTCATTTATTGAAGCCTTAAGAGCCCGGAGGCGTTACATTAAGGTGGGGGTCAGCAATATATGACGGACTCTATCAAACAAACGCCGAAAAAGGAAGAAAAGACAAAGAAAGGGAGAAAAACATCTCTCAGAAAGGAATCAAGCAAGCAGGAAAAAAAAAAACTACCGTAGACTGAAATAAAACAGCAACATACATAAGTGATCAGCATCAAAATGCAGGAGTCACTAAATGTTGGCTAGTAACATGGTTCAATTAGAATTCATTTCAATTGAGGTCAGATGCATTGTTATTTTTTCGCGAAAAGTTCGGGCGGTCGGTGGACGAAACATTACTGTCAGGGAGGGTATCCCACAGGGTTATTGCATGAGGGAAAAAGAATCTTTCATTGATGATGTACGGCACTGCATGTGTGCGATTGGCTTGCTGTGGTAGAGGCGCGGCGAGATTCGGGGTGGGGGTTGAAGTCTAGGGTGCCTGGCAAGTGGGTGATGATAGAAAGAGTGAAGCAAGCAGAGACGCGAGATGATTCGACGTGATTGGAGACATGGAAGGTCAAGTGTGCGTTTGAGTTCAGTGATGCTAAATTTACGCGAGTAGTTTCGACATTATGAAGCGAGCAGCACTATTCTGGATGGATTCTAATTCGTAGGTCAAGACAAATCTGCTCGATCATGTGTTAATTACGCCCTGGATAACTAGCACCATCAAGCCTAAATTTGTGTTTTTAAGTTCTTCATTTCGACGCAGAATGAGTAGACGGCCGTCTTAAAACGCTGTAAAAATCTCAATATAATCACAAGCTGCTCTCTAGCTCCAGCCTTGCATAAGTAGCTCAAGCTGACCAAATAGTTATCGGCAAAGAAGCTGATACTTAGCGTCCACCGCATGAAACGCTTAGTCACACCGACACATGACAGTCACGAGTTATACTGGGGTCTTATCAGAATCAATGAGCGTATACTCTACCTAACGCGTCAATCACTTTGATGGACAGACGCTTGAGGCGATGACCGGGTCCGCACATCACGCGTGCTGTTGCCGAGAGGCCTTGTCGAGCCGAAGACTATGCACACAGGCACGAAGTAAATGCTATGCCATCACATTCCTAAAATGTCTCGCATTCAATTTCATTGCTTTCACACGTACCACTCACAGCCGCGTTGCCGCCTAGTGTCCCTTAATATGCTAACGTAGGTAGAAGAGTTACGCATAACTTTTCTTTGCGCCACTCCCGCAGCTATTGGATCAACCACGTCGTGAGGTGCAAGATGAAGTAAAATGTTCATGTTGGCCTGGACGAAGCTAGCTTAACGGACACGACAGTGCTGCTCCAACACTGATTCGTTTCAATCGATTTGGTTTTTTGAACACTGAACTCGATGTAAATCATGGTTAATGAGAAATGTCACTTTGTCGGTGGTCGCCAGCGTAACCGTATCCGTAACTGTCTTTGGCGATGACCACTTATCAGCTTTCTTAGGCCGTAAGAACGCACCAACTTGACTGTAAACCATACCATGTGGGAAATTTCTTTTAAATGCCCTTAAATACAAATTTTTTGTGCCTTCCGTGCAGGTGAGAAAGGTTGTAAGCATTCTAAAAATAATTGCGGCATTTTTAATTGTAAAAAAAGCCCAGGGTAGCAAGGAAACTTAGGAGCTGTTCGACCGTAGATTGTGTTAGAAAGCTATATGTAAGTTGCTGTTCATGCAGCTTGGATAACTTATACACTTTTCGTCGAAGCCTCGCCACATTCAGCTTCACTAACTGCATTATGCCTTCGGGTCACCTGGGGCACATTTGAATGGATTAATAATTTCAATCGCCTAATACTTATTTATTAATTCTGTCACCTTTAGCACACCTAATAGGCTTCTACTCACCTTAATTCTCACTTGGTTCACTGTACTGCGTACGAATGGGCCAGAGAGAGAGAAAAAACATTTATTGAATTGAGCTTGTCGGTGAAGGTGGGAGGTTTCCTTATTCTAGGAACTCTCTGGCCTGGAGAGCCCACCGGTCTCGATCGACGAGTTTACGCTGCTCGACCAGGTCCGGCTGGGAGATCGCAGACTCCCTCGCTTCTTTGAGGAGGTCTTGGTTCGCATCTGGTGCTGCTGCTTGTAGCCTTGAGAAGCTTACTTTGCACTGCAGTAGGAGGTGCACCAGAGTGTTTGGCACATTGCAGTGAGGACAGATGTAGCTGTGCAACGTTGGCCTCATAAGGTGCAATAGTACGCCATGGGTGAAAGTGTTGCTTTGAAGACGCCTATAGTCAGTCCCTTAGTCTCTTGCGAGTTTTGGATGTGGCGGAGGGTATAACCTGTGTTCGAGCCGATAATGTTGCAGTAATGCATTGTACGTTAGTGGTATGGCTTCTCTTGCCTCTGATTCTGTTGTTGAGTGTGAGGTGCCTCGGATCTCGTATGGGAATGCCTGGTTGACGCATTCGCGGGCTGCGGTGTGTGCCGCTTCATTTCCCTCGATACCTTGATGACCCGGAATTCACACGATGCATGTGTAGGGAGGAGGATTGTCCATGCGCTTTAGTAGCCTAATCGCCACCGTTGAGACCCTGTCTTTAAGGTAGTTCCGTGCCGCTGTTTGAGAGTCGGTAAAGACCGCGATGGGATCCTCACTCGTCTGGTTGGCGAGTGCTATAGCAGCCTCTTCAGCTGTTTTCGCACGTTTGGAGAGGGTAGTAGCCGATGCCAGTACCGCGCCCTTGTAATCTGTGACGGTAATCGCGAAGGCATTACGTCGCGGATATTTGGCTGCGTCCACGTATCGCGCCTGCGAGTCATTGCCATGGTTTTCAGATCATGTTAACCCAGTGCGAGCCGCCTTGCTTCAGTGATCTTGAGGGATGCATGTTTCGAGGAATCTGCTGAATTTCAAGGCATTCTCAGAGCTGTGGCGGTATCTTGCCTTCGCGTTCTTCGTTGGGTTCTAGGGTGGTCTCGTATTCTGTGCGTCGAAGGACGGCTTGTCCTGTGAGTGACGGCTTGAGGCCTCTCGACCTGGTTGATGAGGTGCTGCTTCGGTGAGGTTTTCTCACGTATTGTGAACTCCCATGCAAAGCAATTGGTCAGTGCAGACAGCTGGCGGCAGTCCTAGGGTAAACTTTGTAGACCTCCGTATCAGAAGATTAGGTTTTTTTTCTCCTCTATCTTCACGTTGGGGCAGGAAGTTCCGCGCATTATGTGGTTGTAAAGGAGATGAGCCAAACGCTGTAAAATTGTTGCGCGCGTTACTTTTTCCACAGACGCGATGAAAACTTGTAGACACATACAGCTTCACTATTATAGCCCAATATACGTAGCTGAGCGCACTCGAATAAGTATGACGCATCTCGCCCACTCTAGAACATCATGCCGTATTCGTCCCCTCCGCGCTTGGCGAGTGGCTTCGCTGCACAGATGTTAAACGTAATGGCGGATCTAGGTTTCATTCTGCTACCGAAGGGAGCATACACAGTAACCCTATCGTCGCCATGATGCGAACGTGTCCATATATTACCCACAATATTTGATAGAAGCGAAACGATCTGCACGAGAGTGCTGTGAGTACACCCTGGTTTCCTTCGAGGGCGAAAATTTCATGCTGCAGGTGAAACGAAAGATCCTGACTGAAAGAGGACAAACGCCCACGAACACGCCTTTCGAAGGCGCGATGTTCAATTGCCAAAAAGACCGCGTGACAGTCCCACGGACGTCGCTGCACTGTTGAAATGTTGACCAATTAGCAGCTTTGCCGGTTTCTCACGCGTTGTTCCTTCGATAAATACTGCACATGCCCATAGTGAGGTTTTTACGCCACTCTTGTTGTTGTAGCCATTTTTATCTACGCTGCTATTGCGCAATCCGCAGCGTCTTCGTGCCATAGCCGCCAGCACGGAGTGCGCGGAGCAAACTCGTGGGCCGAAGAAGTTCGGGCCACCCTGTACAGCACCCCTGCTCTGATGGGCGAGGCTGGCTATTGCGCCTTGGAGGACAGAAGTACGGCTTGCACATGAACACCTATGATAACACAGTTGGCAGACATATCACAAATTATTCATACTGACACACCTTCTGGCGCCATAGCTCAAGTATTGCGGGCATCGGTTTTTATCGTGATCATTATACATGAGGTGCTTCTACGTGTTCTATCCGCTGAGCTAAGGCCAATGGGGTGATGGCATTGATCTTTCAGAAGAAAAGTGAGTGGCTTCGTGCTGGTTACGTTGTTTTGAGGCGTCTCTTTCGGCATCCTTTTCTACGAAGATGTCTTGGGTTTGATGTCTTGGCTAGACTGAGTGAGACATCTTGAGTTTTGTCTTCGCTTCAGCTGGCTCACTTTAAAACGTCTTTCTTTTGAACCACTGCTCTGCTGCCGATGATTTCATTCATTCTCGACCTTATCACACGCAGTATCTATTGACGCTAAAGTTTGTTGAATGTACTTTACTGTCAATTCTGATGGTGCTCTGAAAGTTTATGATAGTCATCTTCGCTGAGCGATTATACACTTGTGCTAGT